AATTAAGGCCAAACTGTTCTGTTCTGCTTCTAATTACACAGCATTTGAAAAAAAGATAGATATGTAGGTACATTTTTAGGGGGAGGGAATTTTTGTGGGGTGTCTGCATGTAGTCATGGTTAAAACCTAGTAATTGATGAATATGTGGGGTTGGGCTTTTTTTTCTCTTTTTCCCCCCTAATAAAATTAGGTTCTGGGCTGTCAAAATAGGGTAGGTACGGTAGGTAGGGTAACCAGAAGCGGAACTATTTTGTTTTTAGGCTAACAGCATTGTGGGAAGAGAAAAGGCCTGTTTTTCCATCCCATAGTGCTATGTAGCTATTGTGCAAACTCAATCAAGTAATATGTACAATAAGGCCTATTGAGTAACCAATCACGAACAGGGATTTAATTTAGGTAATTAAATGGTTTCATTTAGGTAAATAAATCTTTTGACATTTCTTAATGCAATTGAATCTTGCCTCCCTGCAGTTGCCGTGTTTCCTAGCACTGTCTACAAATGACATAAATAAGGGAATAATTTGTGCTTGGCTGGTTTTAAACACTATGTAAAAGACCGGTTGGTGTCTGGATAATGATCTTAAATATTGGGTCTTAAATATAGTGTTAAATACTGGCCAAGCAAATATTCATCAATACCTTTCAGTCAAACAAATATACATTTTTCGGTCTACAAGTCAAAGCAATTTCGAATAATTTTGTTCAACAAGTGTACATGTACTCTAGCTATATTATGGAATATCCATCCCACAAAAAGTTGTAATAAACAAATAACATGCACCGGATTTCATAGGAGTCCAAATTTCATGTGACACTGGATAAGTGTTTAAGACAGCCAGCTGGTCTTTAATCGTTTGAAACCGGCTACGTGATGGGCTCTCAACCAATAGCAATGGGTAAACTGTCAATGTATTTATAATAACTTTATGGATTTGCGTTACTCGAACTCAAAATGTATGTTCATCTCACTGAAACAACCAATCTTCATTTCGGTTCCGTAGTCCTTAATATTTTATTTAAAATTTAACACATTGTATATTATTTATATTGATATTTAATTTAGTATTTGCAGTTTTATGTCAATTAATAAATACATTGCAAGAAAATGTTCATTGAAATATTTAAATTGTTTCCATGGCAATATTACATTTTTCAAAGTAAAGTATAGTTGCCATAAAACATTAAGCAGTATTACTACTTCCCACTCAGATTCAAAACGTTTGGGATGTAAGTAGATACATACATATAATTTCCTTTTACTTTACCAACAACTAAAAACTTACTTTGAAGTACCAGAAAATTCACAATATTAATATTACATATTGAAATATAACCTTGTTAACAATTCAGACCACAATATAAATTGAAAGAATCATATGACATTTCGAGGAATAAGCTGAGATATTTCTACATGTAGGTCTTGCAAATGACGTCATTTCCTACAGACCAGCCACGTGCATCGCCATTTTGAGCGTGAACTTCCATAATAGGCATCGGCTGCCTCGTATTTCGAACACATTTCGAGCAACATGCCCACATGTTTTGATTGCGTAAAATATGCACTTGATTGCGTAAAATACACAGGCTGCAGTTCTACAAAGATGACCCTCTTTAAGAGAAATCTATAGAAGGCTAGAAAAACTACAGGCATGCAACTTTTCCTCAGATCAGCTCATTTCCTTGTTTTTCACTTCACACTTATGCCATTGAAAATTGAAAAACACTGTACAATGTCCTGTAAAGATTGGAATTTCCTTGTTTGTTGTTAAGTCCAAGTTGCATGCCTGAGACTAATCCACTGTCAAATTACAGTTTTACGTCCATGCTTAGAACAGTGGACCTTGAACATTTGTAAGAATACAGCAGACAGTCCACAACTGGTTAACGGTACCAGCAAGGGCAATTTGGATAGAGCCATCAAACAAATGGAATTCCTTCACTCTTCGTATTGCTCACTCAACATGCACATGAACCCTGGCAATTGCTTGTGTCTGTTCTGTTTCCTCTTTAGAAAACTGTCCCCTTTCAGCAGTAAGAAATGGCGGAATGGCTAAGCTACATCCAATGGGAAGGAGGAGGTCTTCTATCAAAAATCCCTTGTCTGCCAATAATTTCATCTCCTACCTCAAGCAATTCCATAATACCTGACTGCTTGAAGATTTCTTTGTCAGAAATAATACCTGCATATAGAGCACTGATAAATGTTATAAGTCCCCCGGTGATATTCCAATGAGACATTTAAATGTGCCATGTCCTTTGTAATGCAAGTTCAATTCTGAATTTAAATTTAAATTCAGAATTGCACCATAATCAGTACAATCTACAATTACTCTTGTTTTGGAACAATTTTAAAAACATCTGGCATTTGTTGGTCAATCATCCCTCGTGTTCAGGCCAAAGCGGTATACTCCCAAGTACAACATACCAATAATTAGCCCAAGTAATCATCAATCTGCTAACCACTGCAGAAATTCTGAATTTGTCTGCTAAATCTTCATCAAAGGAACCTAGTTTGACCTTGTTTAGGAAGAGAAACAACTGGTCTATAAGTGGTAGATGGCTCTGAAAACCTGAACGCACTGTTAAAACTTTTGCCTCTCTGTAATCTAACAAACTGAGTCCATTGTTGATGCATATGGAAAGATGAATTTTAAAAATGCAATCAACAGTGTATAATTGGAAAAACCTGTGTAAAATTTTATCTTGGCTGGGTCTTTGGAATATCTTTCCAAAAAATGCTTCCCTGGGCACTGTTGTTCTTCAAGATGCTCTTCAAGCTCCTTGATTCGTTCTTGTGCAGCGTTGAGTTGATCTTCAACAGGAGGCCCTTCCTCTAAGTAATCATGATCTGGTATCTGAGTAGCAGAATGTGTGGTATCACGAGACTCCTCACTCTCACTGATTTGCGTAGGTGTCCGTATATTCCTGTGGTACAAAAAAAAAGGAAGGTGCCAATAATTATCAGGCCTGGAATGCTCAAGTTTAACCCACAGCATTATTTTTACTCTGTTTGGAAAGCATCACCACTCATGTTCCCAATTTCCTAGGGTTTTGAGCCAACACAGTCCCAAACTGACTCCGTCCGTGTCCCATTCAACTCAGTCACAAGTCAACTCGGTCCCCATTCAACTCGGTCCCAAGTCAGCTCGGTCCCAAGTCAACTTGGTCCTAAGTCAACTGGGTACCAGATCAACTGTGAAATTTAAGGGAAAAAATGGTCTAACCAAGGCACCAGTCCGAAAATCAAATTGTGCCACACAGTCTTCGGGTACAATAATAATACAAGAGACCTTAATATGACAAGATCTTTGTTTGCGTACATTTATATATTTTTAATTTGGGACCGAGTTGACATGGGACCCAGTTGGCCTGGGACCAAGTTGACTTGGAACTGAGTTGACTTGGACAGAGTTGGTTTTCCCCCATAGGTTTTTCTTCACTTTGGCATTTTCATATGTCTTATTGACTTGAGACTTGGCAGACACGTAGACCAGCAGCCAAAGATGTTCCTCGTCGATTTTCGTAACAGTGACGTCATCATGTGTCACGTGACGTCATATTAAATGTGCATTTTTCAAATCGCTATAACTTCGGAAGTACAAGTCAAATGGGGTTGAAACTTGGTATGCATATACACTAGGATGTGCTACAGGTGACATGGTCATGACGTCATCACATGTCATGTGACTTCACATTTGAAAGGCAATTTTCTAAGGCCTATACCGGTTATCTACAGAACTATTGGGCCGATTGGATTTTTACTGGGTATGTACCCATATCTGGATGAAAATTAAAGTGATGTCATCAAGACATCAAATGTCATGTGACGTTCATTAAAGGGGCATTTTTCTATTAAAAGCCTATATCTACAGAACTATATGTTCGATTCGATTGTAACATAATATGTACCGAACCTAAAATGTGATGTGTTTAGATGAAATTTGAAGTGACATCATCATGTGTTCATCACGTCATAGAGTCATTTCAAACATTCGAAATAGCTTGTGTTTGTCCAAAAACACATTTTTAGTTTATGTTTGTGCTTTTCCTCTAGCTTAGAGTTCCAAAATAATATGAACAGGTCTAGTAATCTGTTAATTATTTTCAGTACAGGGTGAGTCAGAAAAGTGGAACCCAAACCCCCAACAATATATTTCATACTTAAAAAAATATGTAGCACCAAAAATATTAATCACTGGAAAGCCAATTTCCTAGGCTACTTTTAGATGAAAAAAAAATAACTGAAATTGCTCAATCCGTTCAAAGAATATCACCATATCAACCTGTCTCGTCAAAAAAAAACAGCAATTCATTTTGTGTTTGACTGTTTGGAACAACAACGAAAATGACACAGAATACTTGTTTCATCAACTGTCAAAACCAGTAGTACATAATATCTTTACTAACAACCCTGGTTAGGCAAACAATATGATTGATAAAATCCACTTTTTTTAATAGACGGGCCTTCACTGGGCTTTGTTGAACATTTTTATTTTTTTAACTGAGGTTTTATCGCTGGTGATGCTTGAAGACAACTGTGATGATGATTCTTGAAATCGCATTTTTGGACGAGACAGGTTTTAGGGTCATTGTGTTTAAATGGTGATATTCTTTGAACGGATAGAGCAATTTCAGTATTTTTTCATCTAAAAGTAGCTTATGAAATTGGCTTTCCAGTCATTATGATTTTGGTGCTACGTATTTTTTTAAATATGAAATATGATTTGGGGGGTTTTGGGTTCCACTTTTTTTGACTCGCCCTGTATTTGTATTTTTTTTTAATGGAACTGATGAGTTTATGTGTTTTTAATCTGGAATATACATAAGGAAAGAGATGCAATTGTGGGGATGAGAATGGCTAATAAAATAAAATTATATTTGTGGAGCAGACCTTTGAACACCCCCTTAAAAAATTTTTTTTTTATTTATTGTGTATGATATACATGCATAATGATGAAATTGTTTTCTTTGTTTTTTGTTTTGTTTTTTGTTACATATAGATCAGACGACAGTCCAACAAACTGGTTGCTTGCTGGGTATGAAGGAGGGAATCCTAAATCACAAATATTGATGGTCAAGTCTGGAGTTGATGGTCTTGCTGGACTGACAGAGTTGTTGAAGACTGATTTGGTGTATTATGGATTGTTGCGAGTCAGTGATGAAATAGATGACATCCGTACAGTCAAATTTGTATACATTACTTGGTAAGTTGAATTTTCTTGTAGTCAACTGTAAATAATTTGGAAGCTCAATACAGTCTCACCATTATCAATAAAACAAGTACCAAGTGGTACAACCCGGGGCAGCCGGGTAACGTGTGAAGATGGCCATACGGCACCGTCCGTGCATCGGGCCGTGGTGCGATTATTTTGGGGTTCCCAAACAACATACGCATGGGGTGTACGCTGTGGCATTTTTGACTTTTCTTCTCTTAAAAACATGAGAGAAATATATAAAATTAGAAAAAAAAGAAATGAATTCGAAGGTAATGAAATTTGGACTTCATTTTCTTTCAAAAAAAATATCCTCCAAAGCCTCTGAATAGAAAATAAAAAAAAATGTGGGTACAAAACGTTGACTCAAACCCACACTGGGAGGATCCTTTGCGGTACAAAATCATGACCCTACTGACTGAGCTATCGCACTGCTCAACAAATTTTGGAAATTCATGCATACATATCATAAAGTATCTTAGAGGGTATTTGCTCAAAAACCGTATATATGGATGTAGTTTGGGAAAAGAACATTCGCGTCATATGAAAATCAGACACCTATGAAAAGCGGACTCCTTTTCCCTGTTATTGGTTAATCCCTCGCACATGACAGGTAAATTTCCTTTATATGATCCTAAAAATAGCATATTATCATACTTACGCATGCGCAATACTACCAACGAGTCCATCTAATATGATCAAATATGCAAAAATATGCAAATTTGATCAATGCGCAACAGTGCTTGCAAAACGGGTCTTTGAATGCAAAGCTGAAATACTTTAGTTGTATGAATACAATATATGGCAGAGTAAAGTGTCCACCAACCAACCCATCCACCCACCCAAGTGTATATTTGTAAGCAATCGGGGACCCCCGATTGTCCTTCTTTTGTTTGTACTATAACTTTGTAGGAAAACCTCCCACATGTTTTGTACATGAATCCAAATTGGGGACCTCTTGGGAATTGGGGACCCTTTTCTCCTCTATTGTTCAACGTCCCCTAATGAATGCAGAATCAAACTCACCCACCCCCAACCAACCAACATAAGTGGCTCAAGCCCACGGCAAAATCTATATTGTAGGATGCATTGTGCATTTTCCAACATTGTTTATAACGTGATGCCAGAGCTTTATAAAATGCATGTTTTGTGTATTGTGGCGTCTAAACAATGTTTTGGGGGTAACTTTACCAGTCCTAAATTCTGTATGACCATACTGAAGAGGACCACTTATGGGGGAATCGTATAAAGGGAACAGTACCCTACAAGTGAAATCTTTGGGAAAAGGGATAAAAGGACAACAATCCCACAAGTCCTTCTTGTGAAGATGCTCGCTCGTACCCCCCGCCATGCAAACAGGATGCTTGGATACTGTGATGAGCTTCTCAGAATCCTGTGAAGGAAGTGGCCTATGACCTATGTATAAAGAATCTGGCTGCAGCTGTTCAAGACCGCAGTTAGACAATGTGCGCAAATGCTATCCGAAAACTTCCCATAGAATTGCGCACATTCCATACCGGATGTGATTTCTGTTTCATTGCGGACGATGTGGACAAAATTTGAGCGTCGCATAATGCAATCCGACCGTTCGTGATTCGAAACGGAGCCTGAGCGAGTGATGGGAATTGTAAATTTACAACACAGATAAGTTTTACAGAATTTCCTACATTATTATGCTTTTCAATGAGGAAAAAAAAATCTCTAACTGGAATAAAAGGGTAATGGATCAGTCTTAACGGCTGTTTCAAACCTTGCAGAGTCATGACCTTGATGACGCGCAGGTCACTGGTCATGCAAAATCCAACCAATCAGAGCGTAAATTCATCAGAGTATCCCATCGTCCTGTTTGCAGTGAAGTGAAGATGCAGTGACCCTTGGCTGGGAAAACACGATTCTTAATAGGTTTACTGAGGTCAAAAGTAAAGCAGAGGTCATTAGAAGTCATTGTTCAAATACGAGACACATTCTCACTGAGCGGATTGCAGCTATGCGATGTCGCGCACCGATCCGACGAATTATAGCAACTGCGCGCGCATGTGCGTCATGTCAATGCCAGGGCGCGCTTCACCGAATAAAAAAACTAACTAATTACGGAAATTTTCAACGGTGCGTCTGCCTTTTTTCGTTGAATTCTTCAAAATGACAGCATGCCAGAAAGGATAATTTCACAGGGAGTTTAGTTCCCTTACTTATCTTTCAACCGAGTAAGTTTTTCCACAATAATTACGTCAGTTACTTTTGGATAGCTGCAAATGATGGACTATAGCTTTAACGGGCAAGGATCTCTTTGTTGGGAAATTTGAGGATCGCATGCAAGCTGGGGCAAAGCGGTCGAAGGCTACTGAGCATTCAAGCAGCGGCCAACCCCAACGACCAAAACACAGAATAAAAGCAAACCATTTGTTGTTATTCCTGCCTCAAACCACAGTCTCAGTCGTTCACCGGACAACAACGGCCCAACTCGGCCATGGGCGCCTGGCCCCTGTTATCTAGCCAGACTCGTGGCGGCGTCCTGCCGTCGGACCTGTAGGAGGCCGTCTGTGAGACTTTGTGGGATCCTGGGGCCATATTCATGAAACCTTACTAAGTTGGTTACTAAAAAGGCATGTAGTTGCTTACTAAGCCTAATTGGTAACTAATTGGTATTCATGAAACATTACTAGCGTTTAGTTGTATTCCAAGTTTCTTACTAAAGGTAGTGTTGATCCAGGGCAACTCTAAATGACTAGTTACCAACTATATCATTATTTTGTTGTGCCAGACTTGGCTCCTTAGGTGGTTTCCCCCTTCCAGTTGCCTTTTTGACTTTCCATACTTGACAGGCATTTTTTTGACTCAGAGTTTAATTTGGATAATCAAAATTTTAAATCATCCAAAGATCTTTCAACCTGTTTCTTGTAAGTGTTTGCATCCTTATGCTTAGCATGATTAATATTTTTTTTAATTCCTCATGCTTGCCACAAAGAGATTCTCTTCTTTAGAAGAATTTGCCTTCCTTGTTCTTTTTGTAGCCATGTCTGATAATTCACTCACATGCAGTACACTATACCACATATATATTTTGCTAATCCATGCAAGCGCTGGGCACGGATTAGCCTACAACACCCGGCACACTATTGTATCTGTTGTCATCACATTCCATACATGCCCACTCTACCCAAAAGAACCCAATTCTAGTTAGTCACGTATGCAACTAAATTCCCCTAGTATAGTAGACTACTAGGCATTTTAGTATCCTACTTAGTTGGCTGCTAAGTTAGTAAGGTTTCATGAATATGGCCCCTGGGCTTTAATATGTTCGACAGGTGGGTGCTTGATTCAAGCAGTCGTGGTTACGCACTACAGTTCTCGAACCCCCCCCCCCCCCCCATTTTTGACAAGATCGTGACCGACCGGTCCAAAACTTGGTAGATAGATTCTTATAGCCCCAGAGAAGATATTTAGAAGGGGTGACACCTGAAAAAAAACTGGGAAGGGTGCCTAATTTGCATAAATGGTAAAAACCTGCTGTGAAATATATACTTTTCTCCATATTTGGGTATATTTTTAATTTTTTTTAATTTTTTGATAAAAGATTTTTTGCTGATTCTACTAACACATCTTTACTTCAATAACAAATTTAAGTGACAAAGCATATAAATGACTAAATAATAATGAGGACAAAGTAAAGATCCATAATGGCTACTGTTATACCCTAAAGTTGCGCACATTTGCCTTGTCTCCAGATATCATCAAGTAGTCTTGCCAAACCTCAGTATTGATGAGCTTCAAATTCATCAAGTTATCATATTTCACTTGATTTCCCATTTATTTTTGTTAGGGTAACTGTGCCGGTAAGTAACTTTGTGCATTTGAAGCTGATCAATACCGACATTTGGCGAGACTGCTTGATGATATTGGAGGAAAAGGTAAATGCGCGCAACTTTAGGGTATAATGGTGGCCATCCTTGATCTTTATTATGTCGTGAAAATCATCCAGTCTCTGATATGCTTAAGAAAATGTTATTTAAGTGAGGATATGAGAAGATTCCCCAAAATAACTTAAAAAGAACTAGATTTATGTTTGTGGACGTAATGAGGCCTTCCGTTATATGTGCTTTAAAAAATCACAGTTTTGATGACGTCATGATGACGTCACACATTTTTCAATTTTTTTGCATATACCTATAACCTAACAAACCAAATAAAAAAGGATTTGCAATTTTTTAATGTTGCGTTCGTAAGATATGGCTTCAAGGTCCAAAAATTCAAATATTCATATAAAATGGCATGATGACGTCATCATGACGTCACCTCATTTTTTTTTACCTATTACACATCCCGGTCTACCCACATACCAAGATCAACAAAATCTTACTTACAGTTCTTTAGATATACATGTAGGACTTCAAAATATGCACGTTTGTGATGACGTCACGTGACCCCTGATTACATAATCATGACTTCACTCTTCGGGACACAACTTTGCCATAACAACAATGCATAATGCCTAATTTGAATGATGGTTGACAAAGTTCAGTGCCAAAAGTGACATGTTCTAAAATCGTATACAAAGTCTATGAGATTTTGCGTGGAACAAAAAGAGGAAGGAAAAACAAAAATCAGAACGAAAACAAAGGCTTTTTCGCATGAAAAAGAGAGAAAAACTGGATTTATGTTTGTGGACAAACACAGGGCTGTTTCAGTAATTTTTTTTTTGACATGTGACAAGTTCCATCAAGAAGGATGTTTGGTTCTGTTTATAATAAGTGGTGGCATATAATATGTAATTACAAGTTATAGGGCTTTGAATTATGACATCACATATCACATGATGACGTCACATCAATTTTGATGTATAACTATAATTTTATAGTAAAGAACAACTTAGCCAGAGCATACATCGTTGAAAGCAAGTTTACATCTTTCACCAATTTTGAATTACAAGGCACTTCCGGTTTCAACCGGAAGGAAGGGTCACGTGATTTTGCACATAATATAACAAATAAAAACCCTGGATTATTCTATCCATTCCTGCAAACGTCAAGTTCAGGTTGCTCACGGTTGATTTTATAGTGATTTTCAAAGATTAAATCTAATAATCTTTAGCGTGATGTCACGTGACCTATGATGACGTCATTGTTACGTCACCTCAATTTTCATCTATAACACATCTCGGTCTAGATACAGACCAACTTTCAACCAAGTCGGACCTGTAGTTCTGTAGATATAGGTCTTCAAAATCTGCACTTTTAATGTGATGTCACATGTCACGTGATGATGTCATCATGACGTCACTTCAATTTTCATCTATAACACATCCTGGCTTAGATACATACCAAGTATCAACCCAATCAGACCTTCAGTTCTATAGATATCGGCCTTCAAAATATGCACGGTTAATATAACGTCACATGTCATGTGATGACGTCATCGTGTCGTCACTTCATTTTTCATCTTTAACACTTCCCGGTGTTGGTACATACCAAGTATGTACATAAAAAAATTTTTGGAACAAATATAATACACGGTAGGTATTAATGATTTATACAAATTAGACACCCTTCCCAAAAGCCTTTCGCAGGCCCCGGCCATCTCTGACCGTCACAACAGATGCGTCACTTTCTGGCTTGGGGGGCTGCCCTCCGCCCGCGCCAGGCAGATGGGGCCCTGAACACCACTCGAATCACATAAATGTACTCGAGATGTTGGCAGTTTCCAACGCTCTCCAATATTTTCAGGTATCAGTAATGGACTGAACTGTCCTGATTCGATGTAACAATGCCACAGAAGTGGCCTACATGAACCGCAAGGGCAGCACGAGGTCTGCCCAGCTGTGTGTGTTCACATGGAAACTCCTCCATTGGTTTATGCTCCACGGTAAAATGCTTTCAGCAGTGCACCTCCAAGGCGAGGAGAACGACATTGCCGACACTTTCGCCAGCACTGCACCCACAGATTGCTCAGTCACTTTTTCTGCAGATTGACTGACCACATATTGATACTGTTTGCCTCTTGGGACAATCACCAATTATCGTTCTACCTGTGTGCACTAACCAAACTGGAGCTGGAAGACTGCAAGGTCCTCCTGATAGCTCCCTGTCTTTGCATGCATGTTGTATTTCCACTGAGGTGTGTTTTAGATGTCGTAAGAACGACTTTTATACTTGCATCAGGGCTCAAAGTTAGCGGGAGCAAGTAAAACTCCCCCAAAAAGATTAAGCTCCATGTCGAGAGCAACTGCTAGTGAGCAACTAGAGTGCCTGACTCCGTTCTACCATGGAAGAATTCTTGACTTATTTAATTTGTTAAACAAAGGCTATTGACACAGATTCACCAAAAAAAATTATGTTAATTAATATGGAAATATATTTAAGGTTGATTATTCTTAAGAATAATGGAGAATTTAAGTGGAGAACAAAAACACGTTCTCTTCATTAGTCACAATGGCTGTTTGCTCACTATCACCCCATGGTCACCCATGCGTAAAATAACTGCTTTGGCAGAAAGAGTGAAAGAAAGACCCATTGTTAAGGACCCATACTCCATAGAGTACATACTCTATGGAGTTTTGGATAGGATAGACCCAGTTTTGGCCTTGGCCTTGAGTGTTAAGTTTGCCTTAGCCTTAAGGCTTGAGTGTCAAAGTCAGAGTTGAAATATATGAAAAAGTACCATCCCGTATCTTACTAAATTACTTAACATGCCTACTTGATCTTTGACAGTGTTTGGAATTGGTTATCGAGACAAAGCATGTCATCTACATGTAACTTATCTCCTTGTGTGTTTGAAATTTGTAAATTTGCTAAAACCTTTTTCCTTTAAAGCTCGCATACTTGTAATTTCATCTGTTGGGTTTTTATTGGGGAGTATTGCTTGGCTGGAATGGTCCAGGGTTGGTCTTACTGCTGCATAGGCATTGTCACTCTTAACCTTTACTGTAATTTTAAATCTAACTCATGTAATTTATATTTTAAGGTTTTGTAACGACCTTTGTGGTAACTTTTACAATTAATAAAGTATACATTAAAGCCCGATTCAGCATTTTGACTGTCAGAGTTTGATAATAAAAACAATAAAAAGTACTTACATAATCGGAAATTATAAATTAATTAATTTACTTTAAAATGCGAAATGTGACTGTCATCAGCTGTTTCCCCTGATTGGGAATGAAGGGAATGCAACTGTAAAATAATATTTTGAACCTTTTGCACTATCGACATTTTTTTTTTCTCTCTTGTTCCCATCTTCTTTAACAATTGTTTTTTAAAGAATGTAATTTTTCAATTAACATATTTGTGTGTAGGGTTGGTAATGAGGTGAAACCAATGACAAAAGCCAAGGTGGCAACCCACAAGGGCATTTGTGGTGAGATGTTCAAACCAGCACACATTGAGGTGTATGCATCAGAATTGGCAGATTTATCAGAGACAGAGATAATTAACAAGGTGGGTAAATAGGCAGTTGTGTTGTAGGAATTTACATAAAATATCAAACTTTTTTAAAGGGAATAAACAACATTTGCAAACATCAAAAAAACAAAAGTACCAAATTATTTTGAAATACCTTGCTGGACTGATAGTGAATGGCAGTCAAAAGCATCCTGTAAAATCATGGCACCAGGTTTACTGACATTTTCAAGACAATTGTATTTTTGTATAAATTTTCAATGCTGGTCAGCTTGGACATTTTTTTTTTCTCCAAATACTGCCCCCGATTTTACCATATTTAATTACTCCTCATTTCCTCATTTTGTTTGCAATCATTACACACCTATGAACGGGTACAAATCAGCTAGACTGGTTCCCTGACCTTACAGTTCCCCAAAGTTTATAAATTGCTCCTTTACGTTTCATTTTAAGTGGGGTCAGGCAACCAGACTACAAGAACATGATTATTTTCCCAGATTTTTTTCCCCAGCATCTACAAACGCAAAACTTGAAAAAAAAGTCAGCGTAACAATTTGCTATAAACTACTACCCCCCCCCACCCATCCATCTATTTCTGAACATTTCAGCAAAAGCAAATGTTGTATATTCCCTTTAACATTACTGATTTGATAAGGGATGAATTGTTTAGTAAAAACAAATTTTAAAAGCTGACAATCTTTTTTACTTTTTACTACTGATACGATTAAGCTTCCAACAGGCATGCTATTTTCCTGATTTAATTAAGATTTCCAATTATTTCTTCATCACTACATAAATAAATTTGGGCATTAAACAATGCATGTAATTTTAAAAAAAGAATCCCCGTTTTACAAAGGGAGTTGCAAAACTTTCTTAGCAAAACTGGTGTAAAGACGGATCTTTGTGTATTCAGCCTGTGGGCTGCAACATTGATTTTATTGTAAATCAATATTAGGTTTGCTGCCTGGTTAAACCCAGCACCTGGTTCTGACCATTGTGCCCAAGTGGTGCCTGGTCAAACTCATGTACATGAAGTGTGCTGGTGGCACCCAGGGTCCTTTCAGATGTTTCTTCCGTCACTTCAATTTTTATCTATAACATATCCTGGTCTACGTACCGAGTTACAACCCAATCCGACACACAGTTCTTTAAATATAGGGTCTTAAAGTTTGCATATTTAAGATGACATCACGTAACCCATGATGACGTGATCATGACGTCACTCTTTTGTAATTAGGAACAGCTAAAAAATCTATCTAAACTGTAACAAAGACAGGCCTCTTCCCTTCATGTATTATGAAACTTATTTCATAAGTATTTGAATGAGAAACCTCAATAGAATTGATTTTTTGTAGCATCAACTATTCATAATCCTAGTCTAGACTGTAAAATTGAAAAGGGAAAGTGGAGGAGTTTAAGTTAAAGTTAAGTTATACAAAGAAGAAAGTTAGTGAAAACAGGAAAACAAAAAAATAATTGATGACTTGAACCTAAAATTGGGGGGGGGGAATACTTATTGTCACATGTAACAGACGGTGGTACCATTTTCCTAAATAATAAGTCATACCCGAGAAATCACAAAGTAAGCTCGGTTTCCTTTTTTTTTTTTTAAACACCCTGTAGAATACAGGATCACTCCATTCTACATCCGTGCATCCATGGCTGCGTGCATCCATGGCTGTGTGGATGCCAAAGGTCAGGTTAATCATGTTTGGAAAGTGAAAAAGCAGGTTATCACATTTCTCAAAAGGCAGAGGACTTTCAGCAGTATTACTGTTCACATTTCGCGGAGTCCAATCACGTGGCAATACCGTCATGGCTGCGCAACAAGTTCGTATCTCCTAAAATTGCGTGTGACGTTATGTACGTAAAATATACATTTCCCGCGTTTCGAAGTATAGCGGGAAATAATTGTCTTAAGAATTCGAGCAACGCATTGCAGGTGAATGGTTACGTAATAGAGCGTTGGAAGGTTTAAATAGAGAAGAAAAGAGTATTGAATTCAGTTCCAGCAAGCACTCCACACGAGGCACACAGACTTTTCGTTAACGCAATCATCATGGAGCAACAACAGCTACAGGCGCACGCCAGCGCTAAATTCATTGATGACCGAGTCAGACAGGCCGTGGACGGTTCGCAAGCTGCCCTTTTAGAAAAGCTTGATGGCCTTATAACGTCGAAGCTTTCTACTTTCGAAAGCAAAATAAACAGTTGTAAAAAAGAAATATCTGATAGCCAGCTCACAAAGATTCAAGGCATTATCTTGGCCAACGATGGTTACACATTCAAACGCAAGAGTTGTGAAGATCAGTTTAAGTTGAATGTTAAGGTAACGAGCAAGCTGAGAGAGGCAGAGTCACATCTAGAGGGCGGGGCTGACATCCAGCAAGCATCAAAAGACATATCCGAAGGTATTGAGCGAATTAATCACAGACAAAAACTAGTCAGAATGGCAGATGCATCAGAGCTAGGATGGAGAATTGTAAAGGAGTACGAAAGATGTACAGGGCTGAAGCCAGGGCCTCTAAGAAGCTCAAGACAGAACAGGCAAAGAAGAGCAGTAAAAACCACCAGATTTTCGTCATGGTCATCGGAACAGCGTACTTCGGCGGTTTCGTCAGCGACGGTACCTCGCTCAACCACAGTCGGCAAGGGCAATTAGCCAGGGCGTTGTTTTGGTTGTGGTCAAGCCGGTCATTGGAAGTACGAATGTGCAAGCAGATGAGATAAGTGATCTTGTAAAGTTTTCAGATTTTGAGGTAGAAGACATGGATAACAATATTGAACAGGATGTTACAACTGATAATGTAGTAATTAACGGATAATGCATCACCAACCGATAATGTCACACAAATTGACCGATACTGTATCACTAACTGATAATGTAACAGAAATTGACCGATAGTGTAGTAAAAATGTACTACACTATCAGTCGATTGTTGTTACATTATCGGTTAGTGATACCATTGGTGTGACATTATCGGTTGGTGATGCATTATCCGCTGGTTACTACATTATCAGTTGTAACACAGGATAAAGAGATAATGAGAAATGTTGATGCAAAGTTGCAATCTGCTAAGGGCTCCAACAATGAGGAGAATTTGGCTAAATATTCACCAGTTGGCCGATTACTGAAAGCCTTAGGTCAGTGGAACAAGTTAAACGTTAATCCATTTATCAGAAATGTATTGAAAGAAGGTTATAAAATCCCATTAAGAGTACTAACCAGAGGCTACGTATTCAGATAACAAATACAAGATACAAGTGTTCACTGATGCATCCGCTGTAGGGATATGGTCCCTTGTCGGGAGGGTAAGGCAATTTCCTTAGATGAGGTCCAGTTAGTTGAGGGCAGTGAGGTAGTAGGGTCATGGGACAAAGAAGAGTCCCAGAGTAGCTCCACTTGGAGAGAGATGGAGGCAGTACAGAATTCTCAAAAGTAATGAGATTTTGGTAATCCTTACTGTTAGGACACCTCTATTTTTTACAAGTTCTGTTCAAAACTGACTTTTGCAGATGACTGTCCAGTACCAAAGTGACTTTTGCAGGTTAATACAGTCTTTTTTCTTCATATAAACTCATGTTGGTTGTAGTTTTGAAAGCACTTTCGAAGAAAATGTGACTTTCCTACCTTTTTTCGCAGTCAGACGTGCATGTTGTAGTTCTCACACGTGTGAAAGCCCTACATAATTGAAAGCCCGATGCTGATTGGCTGCTAAAAAATAAAATTTAGTCTGGTTCCCAGACCAAAAGATTCGGATCATGTGGGCAATTGAAGTTAATTGGTTAGTACCCCCAGGTTAATTCAGAGAGTATTGTTGAAGGTGGAGGGTAACGGAAAGTAAAGATTTCAAGCCATTTATAGAGAATAGTATGATTACTACCACAACAACAGGTGATCCTTGGAGGTAAAGGTGGTAATGGCATATTTTCAGATGAACCATTAAAATTCAAGCTGATCGCTTTGAAGCTTGTTTTCTGAATTTCCAGTTTCATTGTAATTGCTGGAGGGAATGTGAATGCTGATTTTGAATTTTTCTAACAGAGATAGGATTGAGGCATAACGTCTCAGCAGCTTTGGAGACAGCGGGAGTGGTGGATGACAAAATAGTTAACCGGATGTGTCAACACTTGATGTCTTCCATGAGTGACGCTACGGTCAAGAAATACATCGGGAGTTTCAAGAAATGGCAGAGTTTATGTGCCACGAACAGATGCACCTCATTACCAGCCCAGCCAATTCTCATCGCAGTGTATCTAACGGAGCTCCTCGACTCGGGGGCTTCTCATCGCGTTATTGCATCAATAACATACATCATTAAATGGGCCCAAGCAAGCACTCCACAGACTTTAATTTTTGGGAAATTTTGATTTTAATAGTTTGGAAAATTGTGAGTACTTGTATAATTATTTTAGGGTGAAGCCCAATACCCTCGCCGAGGAGAATTCTGAATGTTTTGGGGTACAGGTTTTTCAGAGCATTTTACAATTTTATCTCGGGTTTTGGTTTTTTTGCCTGGACGTCGACTTCTCCTATGAAGCGTTTTGAGTTAAATAGTAAAAGCTATTACAGCATGACGATTGGGATTATTCAGTGAGAGTTTTGGCAATTATGTTAATATAATACAGAGCATCGTATTTTCTGTATAAAAGTCGTAGCCAGTCATAGGTTGAAATCCTACGGAGGAATGTTTTAAAAAAGAATTTTGGTAGTCAAACCGTACTGACTACGGTTGCACAATGGTGACGTAGCAGCTGCAATTCATACAGATTATCAAGTTGTATTAACTTTCCAAATGTACAGATGTGCATGTCCCTAATCATTCAATAAACGGTGACCTCGTGTCTCCTGTGCTTTGCTATCGCCAAATCAACGAAGGGTTTTGCTGTGTATTTTGTGAAAGTGAGAATCTAGTTTAAGACTGCCAGTTTTCAATGTCAAAAGGTCGTATCTTGCTTAAAATAACCCTCGTAACAGCCTCGTTAATTCAAGCTTTATGTGTGTTTTTTTACCTTTCAGGTGAAGGCAGCATCTGGGACCAGGTCTTATGTAAGGTCTTAGAAATTCAACACCATCACAATGCACTATCTGGTACATAATTATGTTGGGGGCCCAGGGAGATTTGGTCAGGCTTGTAGAGTCAATGATAAACAAAAAGTAGGTTACACCACTGCTGAACACACAACTTTGAAAGTTGTCGTGTCAGCAGATGGAAGTTGCTTAGCAGCTCGTATGGAAACTCCATTAGGTGATTTGATTGACCACTGAAATCAGCACAGTGGGCATTCACCTAGTTCCACCAGCTGATTCCCTGGTACAATAAGTCACATTTGTAATAATTACATTAATTATGTATTTTATGATCTGCCACATAATATTATTACATGTAATATGGAATCATCTCATGTCAGCGACAATCCTGATATCACATGGTACATAATCACTATATTTTTCTATATTATTTAATTAAAAGGGGAACAAAGTTGGAAAATCTTTCTAGCTCTATTATTTACTAAGGAAGTAACATTTTAATGAGATGGTTTTATGCAATTATATTAATGCAAGAGGGATATATTGGTTTAAAAAATCATGATAGAAAAAGTGTTTAAGTAGTGTTAGAGTAATATTAACAATCAGGCGCCTGACGAACAAATTTAAAAAAAGAGACAGAGTAGCAGCTAATGAAGATGTCAACTGCCACATCTCGGCACCCCACCAACAAAAGTCTATAAACAGCTGTCATCGGACAAAAGATAAACATCCACTGATGGGATATTTGATAATAGAGTTCTCTTATACATTGAGGCCCCCCCCCCCCGAAATGCAACCCTTTGCATTGCCTTTAAAAAAAAGGGGATTGGTGGATTTTTATGTTTTGGGTATCGGATTAAAGCTGAGATTTTTTTTTTCAGATACTGAAAACATCATGAAAATAGCACTTTTAGTTTGGGTTGCTGAGAAAATGCCATTTATTTATAAAAGTAGTCATTTTTTTCATCCTGTTCACAAGTACTTTTAGCCTGCTGTGCAAATCTCCTTTTGATGCTGAAAAGGTTTAAAATATAGGACTAAAAAGGATGAGAAAATAAAAGGTAATTTCCATCAAATTCATTTGTACTCGTCGTATTATGTGCTGTGTTGTGTGTAAGGAGAGGGACATACACAAAATGGGTACAGTGAAAAACCCTTACTGTGGTCATTTGTTTGTGTACATGATGAAAAATGACTACTTGACATAATTGGCAATTTCTCGGCAACCCAAAGTGTGTGTTTCATGATTTTTTTTTTTCAGCATTTAAAAAAAAACCTCTCCGCTTTAGTCTGATAAAAAAAATCCACCAATTTGAGGGGTTTTTTTTGGGGGGGGGTTCACCCTGTAGAATGAATAGGGGTGTTATAGAGTCCATCACAAGTCCTTTTACAAAATCTAGTCAAGTAATACCCATGATCAATAAACAAAGACATGGCAATTTAAATATTTTTTACTTGATTTGAGGCTGACTTGTTAGAATTGCATTTTATTGCATTAAATTAGAACATAAATAGATTTGTGTTTTGTCATTCTGTTTAAATTTACCTTGTGCGTTTCATAAACCTTTCATGGCCTTGTCCGTTTCATAATCACTTATATTGGCATTTTATATGCATGTCTAACTGCAACAATCACACTGTTTTACTGTTAATGAACCCTTTCTTTCCCAGAGACAGAAACGTTTGTCTAAAACATCTTTATCAGACATTAAAAGCATCGTGCCATGACACAACTTCCGACAAAATACGAAAGAACATCAGTTTATTTATTATTACCAACAAAAAATATGCACCTTAATCTCGCTGAAATTAAAACATCAAGCTCACTTCACAAAATAATTATCTTTAATCTTCTGGTCCTAACTGTACAATAGGATGATCCACACGGCTACATTAAATACACAATTTATCATACACTGCTTAAAATTGTATTCTTCCAATTAGATTTCACGAACAAGTTTGATGTCTCACTCACTAAACTGGACTCCCTAGTCCAGTTTAGCAAAAGAATATTACATGAAGAGTACACATCCTAAGACTGGTGGTTTAGCTCCGAAATTATGCAAAGCAATAACTGGTGAGCACTTCTTAAATTTATATTTTCATTTACACCGTTTTAATTAGTTCTTCTGTCCACGGATCACAAAAAGGTAAGTGTTCTTTCAGCAAAACAAAAACAAATTACATACTTACTTACTTGACTTTATTTCCATCCAAGATATAGAACAATTGCAACAATTATACAACAATTAGCCACTTTATTATTATTATACAAAACTCTGAATTATTTTCGTTTTGCTAAAAAGAACATGCACCTTTTTTGGGGTGATCCGTGGACATAACTTTAAAACGGTGGTTGCGTGCACTTAAATGCCTCCAATTGAACTGAAATGCTCTCCAAAAGCATCTGCACCCAAATGCGAGCAAAGTCTTCAAATGTCCTGAAATTCCCCAAAAACTTCAATATTCCCCCAGATGCACTCCAAATGTCTTTAAATGTCCACAAAGGCACCAAAAATGATCCAAAATGCTTTCCAATGTACCCAAATGCACCCAATTGCACTCAAATGACCCAAAATGTCTTTAAATTTCCATAAATGCACCTAAATCCACTCAAATGTGAGGAAATGCACACAAATCCACTCGAACGTCCCTAAATGCTCTCAAATGCTCTCCAATGCACCTAGATGTCCTTAATTTTTTCCCAAATGAACTCAAATTGCTCTGCAACAAATGCACCAAAATGCTCCTTTAATTAATGTCCTTAAATATCCCATATTTTTTTGAAGGCACCAAAATGCTCTGAAAAACATCCAAATGCTCCTTAAATGCTCTCAAGTACATCCAAATGTCCTCAATTGTCCAAAAAAGCTTTCAAATGCACACAAATGAACTCACAAATGCACTCAAATATCCACAAAAGTATTAAAATATCCCAAACACAAGCCATATGCACCACAATGTCCCAAATGAACTTAAATGTCCACAAAACGAACTGAAATGCACATAAATGCGAGCAAATGTCCTGATATTCCCCAAATGCATTAAAATTCCCCCAAAGTCCAAAAAAGTCTTTAAATGTCCACAACTGCACCCAAAATGACCCCAAATGCATGCAAATTCGGTCCAATGCACCCAATTGCACTAAATTCGCGCAAATGTGTCAAAATTATTGCTCCCATGTGTCAATAAATGTCCACAAAACGAACTGAAATGTAACTAAATGCCCGAAATAGCCCAAATGCTCTAAAATTTCCCCATATGCACTCAAAGTACCCAAAATGTCCACAAATGCACGCAAATGCTTCCAAATGTCCTGAAATGCCCTTAAAAGTCCACAAATACACCAGAATGAACTCAAATGCTCTGCAATGCGCCCAAATGAATTGAAATGACCCTAAATGCTTCGAAATACACCCAAATGCTCCCAAAATGTCCTTAAAATTCCCCATTTGTTCTTAAAGCCACCCAAATGTCCCAAAATGCTCTTAAATACATCCAAATGTCCTGAAATATCACAAATACACCAGAATGAACTCAAATATCCAAATGCACTCAAATGTCTGCCAAATGCACTCGAAGGCTCTCAAATGCACCCAAATGCTCTCCAATGCACTCAAATGCTCTCAAGTACATTTAAATATCCTCAAGTCCCAAATGCTTTCAAATGCTCTCCAAAGCATCCCAATGAACTCAAATGCTCTCCAATGCGCCCAAATGAATTGAAATGTCCCTAAATGCCCACAAATGCACTCAAATGTCTGCCAAATGCACTCGAAGGCTCTCAAATGCACCCAAATGCTCTCCAATGCACTCAAATGTCCCCAAACGCTCTCAAATACATTTAAATGTCCTCAAGTCCCAAATGCTTTCAAATGCTCTCCAAAGCATCCCAAATAAATTGAAATGTCCCTAAATGCCCACAAATGCATCGAAATGCTCTCAAATACATCCAAATGTCCTGAAATGCCCTTAAAAGTCCACAAATACACCAGAATGACCTCAAATGCCCCAATGCACCCAAATCCACTCAAATGTCTGCCAAATGCTCTCAAATGCACCCAAATGCACTCAAATATCCTCAAATACATTTAAATGTCCTCAAGTCCCAAATGCTTTCAAATGCTCTCCAAAGCATCCCAAATGAATTGAAATGTCCCTAAATGTCCACAAATGCATCAAAATGTTCTGTAATACATCCAAATGTCCAAAAATGCTTTCAAATGTCCACAAAAGTACTAAAATATCCCAAACACATGCATATGCACCACAATGTCCCAAATGAACTTAAATGTCCACAAAACGAACTGAAATGCACATAAATGCGAGCAAATGTCCTGATATTCCCCAAATGCATTAAAATTCCCCCAAAGTCCAAAAATGTCTTTAAATGTCCACAATTGCACCCAAAATGACCCAATTAGGCATGCAAATTCGGTCCAATGCACCCAATTGCACTAAATTCGCGCAAATGTGTCAAACTTAATGCTCCAACGTGTCCATAAATGTCCACAAAACGAACTGAAATGCCCGAAATAGCCCAAATGCTCTAAAATTCCCCCATATGCACTCAAAGTACCCAAAATGTCCACAAATGCACGCAAATGCTTCCAAATGTCCTGAAATGCCCTTAAAAGTCCACAAATACTCAAATGCACCCAAATCCACCTCAAATGTCTGCCAAATGTCCCCAAATGCTCTCAAATACATTTAAATGTCCTCAAGTCCCAAATGCTTTCAAATGCTCTCCAAAGCATCCCAAATGAATTGAAATGTCCCTAAATGCCCACAAATGCATCGAAATGCTCTCAAATACATCCAAATGTCCTGAAATGCCCTTAAAAGTCCACAAATACACCAGAATGAACTCAAATGCCCTCAAATGCACCCAAATCCACTCAAATGTCTGCCAAATGCACCCAAATGCTCTCAAATGCACTCAAATATCCCCAAATGCTCTCAAATACATTTAAATGTCCTCAAGTCCCAAATGCTTTCAAATGCACATAAATGAACTCAAATGCACTCAAATGTCCACAAAAGTACTAAAATATCCAAAACACAAGCATATGCACCACAATGTCCCAAATGAACTTAAATGTCCACAAAACGAACTGAAATGCACATAAATGCGAGCAAATGTCCTGATATTCCCCAAATGCATTAAAATTCCCCCAAAGTCCAAAAATGTCTTTAAATGTCCACAATTGCACCCAAAATGACCCAATAAGGCATGCAAATTCGGTCCAATGCACCCAATTGCACTAAATTCGCGCAAATGTGTCAAACTTAATGCTCCCACTTGTCCATTAATGTCCACAAAACGAACTGAAATGCAACTAAATGCCCGAAATAGCCCAAATGCTCTAAAATTCCTCCATATGCACTCAAAGTACCCAAAATGTCCACAAATGCACGCAAATGCTTCCAAATGTCCTGAAATGCCCTTAAAAGTCCACAAATACACCAGAATGAACTCAAATATCCCAATGCTCTCCAATGCACTCAAGTGCTTCTCAAATACATTTAAATATCCTCAAGTCCCAAATGCTTTCAAATGCTCTCCAAAGCATCCCAATGAACTCAAATGCTCTCCAAAGCATCCCAAATGAATTGAAATGTCCCTAAATGCCCACAAATGCATCGAAATGCTCTCAGATACATCCAAATGTCCTGAAATGCCCTTAAAAGTCCACAAATACACGAGAATGACCTCAAATGCCCCAATGCACCCAAATCCACTCAAATGTCTGCCAAATGCTCTCAAATGCACCCAAATGCTCTCA